AGCACTGCATCGTTTAAGTTGTAGAAAATCAAGTTAGAAACATAGAGCCATTATTGACCAGATGAACCATTACATAGCACTGCATCGTCTAAATTGTAGAAAGAAAAGTTAGAAACATAGAGCCATTATTGACCAGATGAACCATTACATAGCACTGCGTCTTCTAAATTGTAGAAAGAAAAGTTAGAAACATAGAGCCGTCATTGACCAGATGGGTGTATATGTATATATTAACTTACGTGTAAAAGAAGATGTCGACTCAGCTTCATGACCTGACAACTTGAACATAAATTTCAGATCTCTTGCTGTTTCTTTACGGTATTTTGTTAAACAAATCACGACTAAAACATTACAGGTTTTAAAACATTACGTTTTAAGGTGCGAAGTGTAAAACACTAAATCCAACAGATTGATTATGTGTGTAGTTTAAAAATTGGCAGTATTAAAGTGGTACTGTCAAGATATTTTCTAATTAATATGTTAGGCGAAACGATAATGAAATAAATTTTATCAATAGAAATATTCTTCATTTATCACTTATAGTTATCCTTCAATTCAAGCATGGTGTAGTCTAACGTAATTTTTAAGGTAAATGTGGTATTTCTCAAATAAGGTAGAAGAAATTTTCAGTAACACACACACACACAAATATGGCTTCACTTATAATGACATACTATATGAATAACCTGAAACTTTCTTTGGTTGTGGATAAGTATTATTAGATCGAGTTTCAGATAAGTAACGTTATTCGATGATGGTGGATATGTAACAACTGGAAACGTAGGAAAATAATACTTTTGTATCTCCTCATTGAAGTCAATGTCACAAGATTATAGGGATGATATTGTATCGGCATTTGAAGATGAAAGCTGTTCTTTATCTCTGAGGGCAAGTAACCAACTGTTCCTTGGGAAGGAAATTATTCTACACATTTATTGGTTGTTCATTAGATTTGGAGCTTGGTCATCTGAATCATGGTTCAATTCATAAAGTTTATAAGCGATTTCTAAATATTTTGAAATCAAGTTAGCCTCAAGCAGAATCTTTTAGATTGAGTGGTTTTAAACTTGGCAAAAGCCAAATAAACTTATCAAGGTTTTAAAATATATACGTGATTTACTACCAGTTGGTTTCAGTCCCAGTGCAACAGTTCTCTTAACCATTTTTTTTTTTCTTT